TCTAGGCCTCCTTACCTCTTCACTTATGGCCCACTCACTTCTTCACTCTGAGCCCACTCACCTCTTCACTCTTAGCCCACTCACCTCTTCATTCTAGGCCTCCTTACCTCTTCATTTATGTCTCACTCGCCTCCACTCTTGGCCCACTCACCACTTCACTTTTGGCCCACTCACTTGTTCACTCTGGGCCCACTCATTTTTTCATTGTTGGCCCTCTCACTTCTTCACTCTGGGCCCACTCATTTTTTCATTGTTGGCCCACTCACTTCTTCACTCTGGGCCCACTCATTTTTTCATTGTTGACCCACTCACTTCTTCACTCTGAGCCCACTCACCTTTTCAATGTTGGCCCGCTCACTTCTTCACTTTGGGCCCACTCGCCTTTTCATTGCAGGCCCACTCCCCTCTTCACTCTTGGCCCACTCACCTCTTCACTTTTGGCTCATCCACCTACTAATTATAAAAATTCACTTTTTTATTAGTATTTACATTTTGCTGCATTTCATTTTTCGTTACCTGCACTCCAATAATTATAGTATGAATTTCACTTATTCAAGCATACTCATGAATGTCACCCATACATGAGTACTGCATGCGTTACGTCACAGAAAAAAAAAACTCGCCTGACCCACTTTTTTCTCATGCCGATCGCTGGTGTTGAATGAAAGGCTTTCTGATTCATCGATACGAGAAAATGTTGAGCTTTTTACCTCCTTCAGCGAGCGCCGCCTGCACGTTCCTCTTCACCTTTCACTAGTGATGCCCTGCACGCATTCATCAATTCACCACCAACATACCCAGCCTGGTGTATGTGAAGGTGAATGTCATACCCTGCCTGGTGTATGTGAAGGTGAATGTCATACCCAGCCTGGGGTATGTGAAGGTGTATATCACCACTCCACAAAACACCATCACCTCTCCTCACCCCCATCTTATTCTCATTCAACATCAAATTATTCATCACCCACATCTCCCTTTTTCTTTGGCGCAATTTGAACTTATCGAGTTGAAATAGCCTGCCTTTCTCAACCTGAACTTAAACTTACGGAGACATTAATTGACTATTTGTAGACTTTTAAATTTTTTTAAAGTACTCGTAACATACAAACTCAAACCAACAAAAAAAATAAATGGAAGAATCGTATAACTTTTCTCGATATTCCATTAAATGCAAAATAAATCAAATAATCGAAGAAATTTCTATATCCGAGTTTGTACTCTCAGAAAAATCAACAGGTCTAATTGCACAAATAGTATTACTATTTGCCCACAATACGAGCAGAAAGCGAACATAACACTGCTTTTTTACCAGGTCAAACTGATCGCAAAGTGCATCACTATTTGGTCAAAGTCTCACTCATTTCTCTGTGTGAGTCGAGGCGAGAAGGAAGTGTTTGGGCCGAGATTGAGCAGAATGTGCCGTGCGTGATCATGTGGGCTCATGTCATTTGGATGTTTCTTTTTATTGGGATCTCTTTTTTTTGAAGGCTTTTCTTGTTCTTTTTATTGGCGCAGAGGAATGCCGGGGTTAGGTTTAGATAACCTCGTGCCACACACGCCCTCGTGTCTGCCCACAGCCTACAAGCGTGTGAACTGCCAGCGCTCTGCCTGGCTAGAGGCCTTTTCCGATGCCATTTTTTTCTTCGTTTGATGGAATTTTTTCTTCGTTTGATGGAATTTTTTTCTTCGATTGATGACATTTTTTTCTTCGTTGATGAATTTTTTCTTCGTTGATTGCATTCTTTTTGATGAAATTTTTTTCCTCGTGACATTTTTTGCTTTTTAAATGGAATATATTTTTCTGTTGATAACAATTTTTTTATTTTGTTGTCATTTTATTATTTTTGGTATTTTTTTATTCTGTTGGCATTTTTTTACTTTGCTGGCACTTCTTATATTTCAAGGCCTTTTCGTGGCTATACGCGGCCTTTTTATGGCCGAAGCTGGCAACAGGCGCCAGCGTCAGAAAAATGTTGGAAATATCTGAAGAGCCCGGATCTGTGATGCCTAATCTGTATGATTGAGACTGAGTGTTCTGGCAATCGCGCATGCAGGCAAGAACTCTAGTAAAATTACATTCCAAGAGAAAATAGGAAAATTTTAAAACTTTAATTAGATTCTCCTAATATACGGCATAAAGAGTTTCTTCTAATATACGGAACTTTCAAGTTTTGCATTTAATTATCAAATATTTCCTATCAAATATCATACTGTCTTCCAAAAATGACTTTAAATTAATAGCAATTTTCGGCTTTCGAAGCATTCGCACGATTCGCGCTTGCGTGCATTGATCGCGAAGCGAGTTTGCGCTGCAGATTTTTCATCATTTCTCCCAGACGAATTTTTTATCCCGATTTCCGTCTGTTTCGTGATGCCCAAGCCTAATCCTTTGCAAGATTTATACTTTGTTTGACCTAGCAATTGTCGGGGCACAGCCGAGGCAGTTCGTTATTTTCTGTTTATCATTTTTCTGAGTGTAAAGTTTGATAATTTAATAATTTATTAATGTCTCCGACATAAAACTTGAAAAAATTTACGATCTTTTCCATGTCTCCATAATTTATCAGATATTTTAATTTTGTATTTTTTTTTTTTTTTGTCGGAACAAATCTGTGATATTAATTTCAAAGCCAAAATTATTTTATCGTGAAGCGAAAACCTTAAAATCTGAACTTTTTTTCAGAACTAGAATTAAAAAACTCGATTTTTTAAGTAAATGACTAGATTTTTTTAGTTAGTAACCGTGTATAGGTATTCAAAAACCACTGCACGCTAAACCTTCCACATAATCATTTTTTAAAAATTACATCAAGTTGAATTTCTCAGCCGATCGGTTGTTCTAAATCAAATTACGTTTAAAATCAAACATTTTTGTTCAATATAAAAAACCTGAACCTAAAATATCCCATCACACGTTGAATTAATAAGTTTTACCAATGCATGCAATTGACCTTCAAGGCACCAGCAATAAACTCTTGCAACGTATTGACTGCCTGCTGCTCGCATTTATAGGCATCAAACATTCGTAAATTCTGCGTCTTATCATTCATTCTTGTCGGTCAAGTCTCGTAACTTTCACTGCACTCCATAAAATCATTGCCTAATATTTTTATCCGTTTATTTTTGATATGATGTTTGTTACCTACCTCTTAGTCCAACTTCGGTATTTTCTTCAAGGAGAGGTTTAACATTTTACATTATTACTTATGCCCGTTTATGGAAAATAAATTTATGGGTAATCAGTGCCACGTGTAGAAAGTGTATAAACATTTGTACAATGTGATCCATTCATTCTTCTGAGAGTAAAATGTTTTCTATCTATATGCAGCAAATTTTCTACTTCCAATCTCTAGCTTCTCTTGTTTTCTTTTAATTCAATTTCAATATAATAACGTGCTCTAAAACACAAGAACAATGTTAGGTACTTGTATTTTCTTTGTGATATTTGCGTTTATCTTGAGTAAAGTTCACTTGCTGCCTGCACAGCCCCTCTATTTTAATTAAATTGAATGCAATAGTAAATTCATCTTACCAAGACGGTTTTATTTTTATTTGATTGCCTTAGATTCAATTAATTTTCTGAAGACACAACAATTCCCTGCTAGCTTATTCACTGCATCCCTTCTCAATCTATCAGTATTTTTTCATTTATTATTAAGCATAACCTTCACTAGTGAAATTACTTTAATAATTTAATTCCCATAAACATTCTATCGTGATCACTCATTTCTTTCTGCGGTAGCAATCTTTTCTACGTCTCTTTCTTAGCTCATAAATAGAGCGTCTTGAAAGATGCGATGCATGGTTTGGCAAGCGAATATTGCTATACCTCGTAAATAACAAGCCTAATTTTTTTACCCTAGAGGCAACGAAGCGTTAATTCTTTTACCCTAAGAGGTTACGAAGCCCAAATTTTTTACCTTAGAGTCAACGATGTGTTTATTTTTTTACCCTGAGGCAACGAAGCGTTGAGGAATGTATGGAACGAAAGTAATTCTCATTTTCATTACAATTCTCATTAAAAATTTATATATTAGTTTACTCTCTTGACAAAAGAGTCTGTGAGATAAAAAAATATTCAAATTCAAGTTTGTTCATGCATAAAACGTGTTTTAAGTGCTGGTAAAAATTAAGCGGATAAAATCGTGTTGCTCCCTATGGAAATTTTATCAGAAGTTACCATTAGTTCGGCAGTAGATCAGTAGCTCTTGCATTCCATAATGAAAACATTCATCGAAAGGAAATCAAAATTATCACACACGCCACCTGGCACTGTCAGCAACTGTTCAGTGTCAGCAACTGTTCAGTGTCAGCAACTGTTCAGCGTCAGCAACTGTTCAGTGCCAGCAACGGTTCAGTGTCAGCAACTGTTCAGTGTCAGCAACTGTTCAGCGTCAGCAACTGTTCAGTGCCAGCAACGGTTCAGTGTCAGCAACTGTTCAGTGTCAGCAACTGTTCAGTGTTCACTGTAGTTGCATTCCGTCACTGGAAAGCGAAGAGAATTTTTGACATGGGCGATGTAATGAAATTAAGTCGCGGTGATGTCGGATAAATGCAAGTCATGCTGGGGCTGTCCAGTGATGTATAGAGCCTTGTTTGGTCGTAGTCTTGCATTTTGTGCTTAACTCTAAAGATTCTTGTTTGAGTTGCGGGCTCCCCATTTTCTCTCTCTTTTCGGATTTATGGTGAATTTAATTTACCTCTATAGAGTTATAAGTGGTAATTTCAAGGGCAATTACCAATAACTGCGATAACTTGTTTTGTTGTCTGATTTTCTTGACAGGTACCATTCTGGGTGTTCAAAGTTGATTTCATATTTGTATTCAGTAGCTATAAAAGTGGGAAAAAATAAACGAAGGTATTTGAAAAACAGTTTTTATGTAAAAAAAATATTCTTTGTTTCTATTCATAGTTCCGATCCTTTTTAGGCCATTGTGTAAACTGTTAATTTTTTCGTCTCTGATTTAACAAAACTAACTTGTATTTCATCTTTTTTTCAGACGGCAAAACGGAAGCAGCACTGCAAAATGGCTCCCTCTCGATGTGGCTGCTACGGAAACAGAACTCTTCTGAGTTTCGTAATTATCTTCAACTTATCGATATCCTCGGCTCAAATCTCACAAGAAAACTCGAGAAGAATTTTCCAATCCAGAACCATAGATGGCAGTGAGCCCCACAACACAATTAAACATGTCTCATCAAAACTCAACTCGTCTGTCTCATTTGGGATCAACGAGAGTGACATCGCCGCCATTTTTAGGGGTGTTGCTTACGGAGTGACAACTTCGTACTCAAAAATGCAGACAAAGACCGAAGAAACCACGACTACCACCACCACAACTACCACTACGTCATCTCCAACCACCACTAATACCCAGTCAACCATCAACGAAACCTTGGTTGTGAGTCCAGAAACCATCAGACCATTGGACCCTTTGCCTATAACTAATTCGTTGGATGACATTTCTTCAGACATTTCACCAGAGAAACTGCCAGTGAATGAAAATTCATACGCTGTTCCTACAGGAGAAGAACGGCATTATGATTACCGCGGCTCTCAACTCTACAATATTCCTCAAAGTGATATCTTGAACAACTTGGCAGCTGATGAAAGTGTGAACACCGAACGGAATTACAAATCAAGTGAAAGTTTATACTCGCATGATATTTACGTTGATAAGTACGACCACAAGGGCCACCTGATGACAGCAAACGAAGTGGAGGTCCATCATGTGGTGGATTACGCCTGGGTTATCCATGTGTATCTCACTGGAGTTTTAATGGGAGTTGTGGCCGCCATGGCTATCTGTTGTATCTCAAGAATTCATTTCTGCTCCCCTATTTTCCCCAGAAACTTTTTCGTCACCATGCACGTACTGGTGTTCTTAGCCGCCTTCTTGCGATGCATTTTATTATTTAATGGGTCTTTCGGAGAGGCACATAGCAAATTACCAAAAGTTTTGACAGGACTTCTGATCAATTCTGTTCCTCCTTGCTTAACTGCAGCTTTTGCATTGGTGCTTCTTGTGTTCCTGAAAGCCACTCACCTCTACGTCCTGCCGGCCAAGTATCAGTCATCGTTCGTCCTGGCGGTTATCAGCGTTGTTCACATTGTAACGAGTATCATTGTTGATATATGCGCAGGTTTATCTGATAGCGAATCGCTGATAAACGCTCTCCGTGCTGGAGTCCAGGCTGGTACAGCAGGCTGGAGCTTGCTGCTGAGCATGGGATTCGTATACCTAATTTACAACCTCTGGAAACACGAAGAACGGAAATCAGTCATTCCGAAGAAGTCTCTGCAAGTTATTTATGTGGCTGTTGTAGTTGAATTAATACTTGCCTGTTTTACCATCTATGGAATCGTCACTCCACGAGTGACGGTAAGTAAGGAGGTAGACAATACTTGGTCTCTATGGGTTCTGGCTAGCTGTGAACGATTACTTGAAGCTTGTTTCTGTGTTACTTTATTGGTTATCACGACCACGTTTACGATAAGTAAATGCAATAACGTGAAACCGCAAGAACAGAAAGTATTCTCCGTTATGACGTCAGGAAAAAGAGATGTAAGTCTGGGACGATCAGCCAATGTGTACCCAGTGACATGTGACAAAAATGGCTTCCTAAACAATGGCCTTTTGGGTTCCAATCTTAATAACGATGGTTCAACTAAATCTGAAAATTATTACAGTGGATGGACGGACGCACGTTTGTATTCAGGTACAATCGACTCGACAGCTGATTTCCAACTGTTCAACGGAAAAGCGACGTCAACAATGTCTACGGTTTTGTACCCAAATTTCAACTCGATGGCAGGCCCAGGAGAATTAATAGATGATTCAGCAAAAGATTCTTTCACAAATGGCGGTCAGGAGTCCTCAATGACGTCCTACAGTACCCTATCCAGTCACAGGCCTTCAAATGCTCAGCATTTATGTTACTTTGCGCCAGTAAATGCTTGTTGTCCGTCTTCCGCAACTAAGGGATTTCCGACTTTGACCAAACAACCCATCTTGCTGGTCCCACAGTACAGCAATCCCCAAGGTCCGGGTTCATCTGCACCCCAGAGTGAGGAATCCACTTCGGGTTCTTCGTATTACGGAAGCTCGCTGGGCTCATCGCATATTTATTCGTCGCCTCAGTACTACACATGTCCTGGTGACGTCGCAGATGTCCATATCAACAATCCGATTCTTCCCATTCACTTGCACCAGTGCAGTGAAATGGGCCCCGGAATGCACAAAAGAATGGCCGCTAATGAAGAGTCTGCTCACCACATTCCGAGCGCGAGCCTCCCCGTTCTTCAAGACATTCCAGAAAATAATGAACGCATGTTGCAGCAGTACAGACCCAAGCAGCCGCTACCTCACCCCGAACTTCATCAAATTCCTGACGTGAATGTTATCCCCGGGGTAGCCCACATACCTGTCAAGCATCAGTTGGTCGGAGTGCAGCAGCGTCAACCTTTTCGCCATCCCCACATGATCCACCACTTCCATCCCCACCACCCAGTGATCCACCAATTAGATCCTAATCGATCTACACCTCAATCCATTAAAGGTTCACCTAGTCTTTCTTCGACTCAGCACAGCGGCGTTTCAGCCGTCGCAAAGTCAGATTCCCCGACAGGTTCTTGCCCTTCTAAAGTCCCTGGCAGGCAAGGACCGGCAACGTCGAGTCATGATTCCTCAATATGCGGTGCCGCCGTGAAAGGCGTCGCCTCGCCAGCTGTGACTTCCACAACCCCCGTCACTGCATCCACAAGTCCCTGTCAAATTAACGCAACGCCGTTGGAAAGTAATGAACTCATTCAGACGAGTGAAGCCTTGCAAACTATTGGCGGATCCGATTGTAGTTTTTTAAGTAAACTCGTAAGGTCTCCCGAGGCTCAGAGTCTTTCAAGTTCTCTCGAGCTTGACACCAGAAGAACGTCCGTTGAAAAGAGAAACCCAATTTTAAATTCAGCCGCGGGGTCTCCTCCGTTCCGACAGCGGATGGTCTTCGATGACGCAGACCTTCCATCACAAATTGTATGAAAGGAATTTCCATGTAAAATGTATGATATAATATAGAGACTGTAAATAATTGAGTCGTGTTTGAGGAATGTTACAAGGATGTCAGCTTTTTTTTAAAAAAATTAAAATAATAATTTTTACAATATAAATAAAAAAAATCAAACAAAATCGACGTGTTTTAGGAATACATAAATGTCTGTTTTTTCCATGAACAAGTTTAATATTAGTTTGCTTACAATATTTCTTTACAATCGTTTGTTTACAATGAAAATAGTCAAATAAAATTAATTTGAAGATGCTTCCATTTTCAATAATGTCAGAGACGAATCCAGTTTTGATAAGCGTAAATTCTGTTTGATATCATTTTTTAATCGTTTCATCGAGTTGTATCGGAATTATTATTTGTACAAAAGCACTTGACATGTAAATAGTTCGTAAATTTATTTCCATGATATTTCTAATTCATATTTTTATGTCAGTTAGTGTTTATTATCCTCACGCCAAACAAGTTGCAGTTTAAGTCTGTAAAAAATATATAGTTTAAATTAAAATTTGTAAAGCTGCTTCAGCGTATTAAGCTGAAAAGCTTCAGCGTATTAAGCTTAAAATGTATTTCATACATTTTAAAGGTAATAAGAAAAAGTTCAATATCCTCACCGTTTCAGTTCATTTTCAAGAATGAATAAAACAGAGAAGTCATGAAAACTTCTCCCACGAAAGCTATGGCTGTGATAATTACCCATTATATTGTGTAGTGGAGGTAACAGTGCTATTGTTAGTGCATCATTCATTGTTGATTGTTAATACAGAACAATAGCTTGCTGAGATCCACCTCCAAGTTGCCTCTATTGTGCCCAGTTTGATTATGAATCCCATACATGAATTATTCAAATCCTGCTGTAGCACAACGTGAAAAAGCGTAATTATTTTTACTCATTTATCAGATTGGTTGAATCGACAGGAATTTATCAATATTTTGTTCCTATAATTCATATCTTTAGCCAAATAATCGCAATTATTCTACGTTCATGTGGCTCATTATTCGTGACTCAATTTACTCTTTTAGTTCACCGAATCAATTATTATACTGAAATTAATTCCTGAATATTCTTTGATAATTTTTACTGTGTTAATTTCGAAATTACTTTTTTACTTAGATATGAATTACAGTTAATGATTCTGGCGCGTTTCATTGATGTGATATTTTCACGTGCTCCTTCCGCTCATTCTCCAATATTATAAAATTTTATAAAATAAATTAGTATATACAGCGTAATAGGTATAATAATTTGTATAAGTGATCCATTTATGCTCAAACGGGCGGACATAATTTTTATGCTTTTTTACAATTATTTATCGTTTATTTCTTCTCAATTCAAAAACGGAATAGTCTTTATGCAAGAAACAGACGCCAATGAATAGCTTGATTTTTCAGGCTCGAAAAAATAATTTCTTTTGATATTGCAAGGTTAGCAATTTCCTTATTTTTTTCTGATTTTGCATTCAAATAATCTTTTTTTTTGCTTTCAAAAAATGTTCGGACACACCCTTCCCAAAAGTAATTTATCCACAAACTAATTCACAAAAATCGTTCAGTAACTTGTTGAATATGTGTTATGTTTGAACTAGCACGTGTTGAACTGCCTTAGAAATTATTATGTAAAATGTATGTATTATATCTACCAGAGTTGGTTTTACGATAGCCCAGCCTGTTGTACATTTGTGCTTCTTTGTAGCATTTCTAGTCTATCAATATTATCTTACACCAATGAAAACGACTTTCATTTCCTCATACCTATGATAATTCAACCCAATGACGTGTTGTAGTTTGATCATTATTATCGAGCATCTACTGTAATGTGAAAATATTAATCGAGGTTCGTGTGTTGATCATTATCTTTTAAATTAAAATAGATACAGAACAAAAAATCGAGGAAATGAAGCAAGTGAAAAAGTTTTCGGTTTCCGGTGTGAAAAAGAATCTTAACTCATTTAAAAAAATGTTGCTACGGTATTATTTCTATTTTTTTCCTCAATTACTCATTCAATTTAACTGCTAACTCACACTCGTGAATATTCTACCTATTTCGTATTTATTCTTCCACTGCAGCACTTAGAAAATACAATCTATTTGGTCTAAATGAATCAATGGACACTTGACTGACTGAAACGATAGATACTTGTTATTCATGTTTAATAATACGCGACTACCGGCCTCATGCATTGTGCGATGTTCAATTAAGAACACACTCACAATATGAATTCCAGTGAATGTGTGAACTCTCCTGAACACACAACATGAATAACCCGTGAACACACAACATGAATAACTCGTGAACTCACAATTTAATAACCCGATGAACACACAACATGAATAACCCGTGAACACACAACATGAATACCCCGATGAACACACTCACAACACGAACTCCCATGAACACTCCCTTATCCCTTCTGAGAACATGAACAGCACTCACTGCCATCAATTCCAGATCCTCATTCCCCGGCATGAGTAATGAGCAAATAACGACCCGCCTTCAGTTCATCAACTCGGCCCAACCTCCACACGTGGTGTAAACAATGGAAAAAATACGTGGTGCAAACAATGGAAAACATGGACATTCTGAGAAACGTGTTTGGCTTCGCCGTACTCGCCGCCCTGTCGGAAATAGCAGACGAGTCAAAATAAAGCGATTATAATGCGCTAACACTCAAAGAAATTAGTGTGATTTGTATAAATAGCGATGTACGTTTGGCACTTGTATGGGTCACCACGACCTAGTTTGGTCCAACTAGAGGACTCATCAGAGCAGCGTGTAGAAATTGTGTCATCTTTTAGACAATATGATCCGTTAAATTCTTATAGTGAATTGATTGTCCAACGATGATTTTCGACGACGCCTTAACAAGGAGCGGCAATTGTCTCAATTAGTTAATTAACACATAATCTCACTTACTGTTCTACTGATCGTTTAAGGCCAAATTATTTTATTTGCCGTCTCAATTAATTACCTTATATAATCTTAATTAACTCAGCTGATCGTTTATGTTCAAAAAATTTGATTAAACGTCTCAATTAGTTAACTTATAATCTTAATTAACAAACAGCTTATCGCTCTTTTACCATATTATTCAATTATTTATATGTCAGCCTGCCAGCTAAACACCGATAATATGACTGATATTTTAATTCATTCATGTTCATGAATCTAAAAATTTATTGAGTTAATCCATTGATTAATGGCAATAATAAAATTTAATATGGTAGACAATTCATTGCAAACGGTCAATCATCATCCAGCCTTCGCGTATTCTAATACAATAAAATTATAGTACAAAATTACAATGCTTCAGAATTTATTATATACAAATTATAATGATATAGGATAAAAATTGTAACCTTACAGAAAGGAACTTTTTCTAAAAGCTAAAGCTAAGAACAGGAAGCTAAGACTACGAACTAGTGCTAGTTATAATAGAGCTGCTACAACTAGAAAAAATATAACTCAGTACTCACTGCAGTGAGTGACAGAGAGTGCATTTTCTCGTCGACGAAAACTTGAGGTCACGGACGGACAGACGGACAGACAGACAGACGGACGGACGGACATGGCGAGCACAATAGTGCATTTTTCCATAAATGAGAAAATGCGCTAAAAATGTGTCATATTGTCCAAATAGTGACTCACTTTCTTTCCCACCACACGAGCAGGGAAGAAACATATATAGCACTGACACACAGGGCCTAACTGCTGGGTCAAGTTCACCACAGAAGGCAAATAGTGTATCGTTACTCAGACAAAGAGTCGCTCATTTCTCTGAGTGTACGCTGACATCTCACATTCTTCAGCGGCCCAATTAATCCTGCGCTCGCTATTCATGCAGTTCGCTGCGGTCAGTTGCTTATGTAAAATTCTGAGGAAATTCATGAGGCTAAGAAAAAACTTCGGCCGCTCTCTGGAGGCAACACTCAGAGAAATGAGAGAGTTTGTCTAAATAGCGATACAAATTTTACCCTCAAATGGATAGTCCAAAGCCAGTTGGACCCGAAAAAATGTGTATCAGTGCTAAAGTGGAAAATGTGTGTCGAGATTTAGACAGCATGACCCATTCATTTTTCTGAGTGAATGTTGTGGCTCCCTATAAAGTTGCTTATCGATATTTAAGAATACGGAACTTAAAAGTCGTATTTTTAGGTTCCAATTTTCAGTACGGGATATAAAAAATTTTTATTTTAGTGTCTTATAGTAGCGAAAATTGCCTGAAAATTTATATTGACGATATGATTTTTCCTTAAACAAATGATTAATTTTGGATTTATTTGTTTGGAATAGTTGATGTAAATATAGCTCCATATATAAAACAGAGGGTCTCCTCCAGTGCTACGGCTGGCGAAGAACTTTTCCATTGGTACGAATAATTAATTTTTTTTTCTCCATTCCTGAAACTGATGAAGGCCTCTTTTCGGTTGGCCCATCCCAGGGATTCTTGTCCTGCATCGGGCGATGTTGTTCCTGCGGTCGTGATGTCGGCTGCCGGCCATCAGCGCCCTCATCTCCGCACGAGTCCGCGCTGCGGCGGCAATTAACAGAGGCGTCGTGATGATGGCCTTCCATATGTAGCCTTCTTATGGCCTTCCATATGTAGCCTTCTTATGGCCTTCCATATGAGGCCTCAACATGGCCTTCCATATGACTCCTCATAGCTTTTCATATGAGGCCTCAACATGGCCTTCCATATAGAGCCTCCTCATAGCTTTTCATATGAGGCCTCAACATGGCCTTCCATATGTAGCCTTCTTATGGCCTTCCATATGAGGCACCAGCATGGCCTTCCTTATGGAGCCTCCTAATGGCTTTTCATATGAGGCCTCCTCATGGCCTTCCATAAGTAGCCTTCTTATGGCCTTCCATATGTAGCCTTCTTATGGCCTTCCTTATGGAGCCTTCTTATGGCCTTCCATATGCGGCCTCAATATTTCATGTGAGGCCTCCTTATAGCTTGCCAAATAGAGCCTTCTCATGGCCTCCTCATGGCCTTCCATATGGAGCCGTCATGTGGAGTTTTTTATCATCTTTCGATTTTTCTTTTTTATCATCCATTTGTTTATAT